ATATATATATATATATATATATATATATATGTATATATATATATATATATATATATATATATATATATATATATATATATATACACAATAGAAATATAGCTTTGCAATCAATTAAAGGACTATATAATTTCTTTAATAATAAGTATAATCCATTTACTTTAATAAAATTTCCTAGATGATAAAAAAAAAAAGGAGAAATTAAGGAGTGTTTCTCATCGGTTACTTAGTAAATTGCCAATAACATTCCAACATATGATATAGTGGTTATTCATATGTTAATACAGTTATATAAGAGACAGGTGGGTAGAAAATTTCCTTTAGAGTAAAGGAAATTTTCTACCCTCCTGTCTCTTATATAACTGTTATGACTGGTTTAATTTTTTCAATTAGACTTATTTTTTAGTCAAAACTTTTGAACTTCACTAATAACTAATTACTAAAGTTAAGTAATTGGTTATTAGCGAAGTTAACCAAAACTTGATATTGTAATATTTCAAAAAGTTCATTAACTAATGTACTGGTCCAATTATTTCGAATAGAACAATCTAAAAGTTGTTAATTAAAGATATTGAATTATATTGAATTATCACCATAAACTCTCTGTATTATTAATAGGTTTTCCTTTTGAAAAATATGACTATGCATGAGATTCTGCGATGTCTAAGTCTTTCAAACAGTCAGAACTTGGTTCTTGATATAGTATATCAATTATTATACTTGAAATACTATATCAAGTGTCAAGTATATACTTAATATATATATATATATATATATATATATATATATATATATATATATATATATATATATATATATATATATATATATATATATATATATATATATATATATATATATATATATATATATATATATATATATATATATATATATATATATATATATATATATATATATATATATATTTATATATATATATATATATATATATATATATATATATATATATATATATATATATATATATATTATCATATACCCAGTTTTTAACTATTTATTTCAATATCTGTATCAATTTCAATATATGTATCAATATTAATACGATTCTCAAGTAATTAAATGTTTAAAAATATATATATATATATATATTAGCAAAAACCTGTCAATAAGTCGCTTTTCATAAGGTGCTTTTAAAATTCTCATTGAACGTTTGGGAAGTTCCAAACCTTGATTTGGCAATATTTCAAGAAGATCATTAACTAATGTACTGGTTCCATTATAAAATAGCATAATGTTGTCGAGTAAAGACATTGAATTCAAAGAATTATCAGGATAATTGTTCCATGATCATTAACAGGTTTTCCTATTGAAAAATTCGATTCTGCATGAGATGTGTAATAAAATATCACATCCGCCTAAAATATTACATCCCCCATAGAAAAAATGAAAACGAGAACGCGCTTTCGAGTCATTGCACTTAGAAGTGTATCAAATACGTCCGAAACATTCAATTATAAACAATATAATTAAAACGAGATTCATAAAAACGTTTTTTTACTTATATACTATAAATGAAGTTAGCATAAAATGGTAATATATTTTAAATTCTTATTTATAATATTTTGATCGTAATGTATTGTGTGACAATAGCGTAGAAGAAGATTACACATTAGGGATACTTTATGTAATAAAAATAATAATCGTTTGCAATATTTTAGAAGCCTGAATAGGGGGGATGTGATATTTTAAGCAAGAATTCTAGTTTCTTTTTGTGGCATATAAAGAAATAACAAGTGGTGGATGTTATATTCTATATACCAAATACTAATTGTTTAAAATACTTTATAAACTACTTAGGGGGATGTAATATTTTAGTAGTAGACATCGGGGGGATGTTATATTTTAAGTAAGAATTTCAGTTTCTTTTTGTGACATATAAAGTGAATAAATCGAGGGAATGTGATATTCTAGATACCAAATACTAATCGTTTGAAATATTGTATGAATTACTTAGGGGGATGTAATATTTTAAAGGTAAACATAGAGGGGATGTGATATTTTAAGTAAGAATTTCAGTTTCTTTTTGTGGTGCATACAGAATTTGCAAGTGATAAATCTTATATTTTAAACACTAAATACTAACCATTTAAAATGTTGTATGATTTACTTAGGGGGATGTAATATTTTAGAGATAAACATAGGGGGGATGTGATATTTTAAGTAAAGATTTAAAGTTTCCTTTTGTGACATATACAGTGAATAAACCGAGGAGATGTGATATTCTAGATACCAATTACTAATTGTTTGAAATATTGTATGAATTACTTAGGGGGATGTAATATTTTAAAGGTAAACATAGAGGGGATGCGATATTTTAAGTAAGAATTTCAGTTTCTTTTTGTGGTGCATACAGAATTTGCAAGTGATAAATCTTATATTTTTAACACTAAATACTAACCATTTGAAATGTTGTATGAATTACTTAGGGGGATGTAATATTTTAGAGATAAACATAGGGGGGATGTGATATTTTAAGTAAAGATTTAAAGTTTCCTTTGGTGACATATACAGTGAATAAACCGAAGAGATGTGATATTCTAGATACCAATTACTAATTGTTTGAAATTATGTATGAATTACTTAGGGGGATGTAATAATTTAAAGGTAAACATAGCGAGGATGTTATTTTTTAAATAGCAAATATTAATTGTTTGAAATATTGTATGAAATACTTTAGGGGATGTAATATTTTAAAGGTAAACTTAGAAGGGATGTAATACTTTTAGTAAGAATTTCAGTTTCTTTTTGTGACATATATAGCAAATAAACCGAGGGGATGTGATATTCTAGATACTAAATTCTAATCGTTTGAAGTATTTTATGAATTACTTATGGGATGTATTACTTCAAAGGTAAACATAGAGGGGATATGACATTTTAAGTAAGAATTTAAGTTTCTTTTTGTGGTACATACAGAACTTACAATTGATGGATGTGATATTCTAGGTACCAAATACCAATCGTTTGAAATATTGTATGAATTATTTAGGGCGATGTAATATTTTAGAAGTATTCATTAGGGGGGATGTGATATTTTAAGTAAGAAGTTCAGTTTCTTTTTGTGACATATACATAGAATCTACAGGGGGATGTGATATTCTTGGTATCAAATACTAATCAATTGAAATATTGTATGAATTACTTAGGGGGATGTAATATTTTAAAAGTATACATAGGGGGGATGTGATATTTTAAGTAAGAACTTCAGTTTCTTTTTGTGGTACATACAGAACTTACAAGTGATGGATGTGATATTCTTGGTACCAAATAGCAATCGTTTGAAATATTGTATGAATTACTTAGGGGATGTAATATTTTAAAGGTAAACATAGAAGGGATGTGATGTTTTAAATAAGAATTTCAATTTCTTTTTGTGACATATGCAGAGATTCCGCAGGGGAGATGTAATATTTTAAATACCAAATATGAATTGCTTGAAATATTGTAGAAAAATAATTAGGGGGATCTAATATTTTAGAAGTATACATAGGGGAGATGTGATATTTTAAGTAAGAATTTTAGTTTCTTTTTGTGGTACAAACATAATATACAAGTGTTGAATGTGATATTCAAGATAGCAATTACTACTTATTTGAAAAATTTTATGAATTACTTAGGGGGATGTAATATTTTAAAGATAAACATAGAGGGCATGTGATATTATAAGAATTTAAGTTTCTTTTTGTGGTATATACAGAACTTTTAAATGAAATATTTTATTATTGTAAAGAAGTACTTTTTTTTTTAAACGAAATATTGTAATATTGTAAAGAAGTACTTTGGGAGATGTAATATTTTAGAAGTAGACATAGTTGGGATGTGATATTTTAAGAAAGAATTTCAGTTTCTTTATGTTATCTATACAGAAATTACAAGTGATGGATGTTATAGTCTAGTTACCAAATACTTATTGTTTGAATTATTTTATGAATTACTAGTGGGATGTAATATTTTAGACGCCTGAATAGGGTGGATGTGTAATTTAAGTAAGAATTTCAGTTTTATTTTGTGACATTTATAGAGAATAAATAGGGGTAATGTGATATTCTAGGTACTAAATACTAATCATTGATTAGTATTTGATACCTAATGAAATATTGTTAAGAATTACTTAGGGGAATGTAATATTTTAAAAGTAAAAAAAGGGGGGATGTGATATTTTATGTAAAAATTTTAGTTTCTTTATGTGATACACACAGAATTTTTAAGTGAGGAATCTGATATTTAAAACACAAAATACTAATTGTTTAAAATATTGTAAAGAATTCCTTAGTGGGATAATAATAATATTTTAGACGCCTGCATAGGGTTGATAAGTAATTTAAGTAAGATATGTATCTCAAATATTGTTAGCTATTTTTTGTTTCTTGGGTCCTCCTCTGATGGGGAGATCTTTATAATAAATTTATATATTTAATTAAAGAATTAAAAAAAAATTAAAGAACTTTTAATAAAATCAAGAAACTTTAATATTTAAAGTGTTTTTTAGCTTTTTAAAGTTTTAATTTAATATATATATTTTTTTTTTAGATACGATTGAGCTAACAATTTAAACATGCGACATTGTTCAACGAAGTCATATATAAAACTTTGGTGGAATTAAAGTTTTCATAAGATTTAAAATGAACGAAATTAATTACAATAATTTTTTACTCTAAATGTATTCATATCTTACAACATAAATATTTTAATGTACAAAACGTTTTGAAGGAAAATAAATAATTACGGTTTGTCTTTTTTATTCTATTGCATAATTTAAAATTTTTCTCCATTACGTCCACCTATGGTGGCTTAGGCGTAATGTTTTGGGAAGGTTATAACTTCTTTAGATACTTTTTTTGAATAATAGAAACTTCTTTTCTTAATAAAGGAACATTTTAAAGAACTATTTTTAAATATTAAGGTTTCTTTGGCTGGCTTGGTATGGAAATATAATGTGATTATTGAGCCTGTTGCACGGCAGTTTCAAATTGATACTTATTGGAACTTTATTCTGAGCATGCGTAGTGAACAGTTGCAAAACATCAGAAATTCGATGATTTTTTGTATAATTATTTTCTTAAGCTCAGCTACTCTAACTTGAATTTTTTTATGTTTAATATTTCAAACTTTTTGTAAAACGTAGCGATTTGCTTTAGAGTTGGCAGATACATCTTTATATTATAAATTTTGTTGTTGAAATTATGTTTTTTAACGAAAACTTTTAAATCAAAAGGTGATATTTTTTTCTTGAAATGTTCTGTTTTTTAATCAGCTATATTACAATAAAACGAATTTTCTGTAGCTGAAACTAAGTTGTTTTGTTTTCTTCATTTTATTGATCTCTTTTTAAAGTTGATTCTAGAGACCGGTAATTTTTTTTAAAGGCACATTTTTTATTTATCTGACGTAACTGCTTTATTTAGAAATCTTTTAAACATGGACCATGCAACCAAATTAAATCTAATTTGTAGAATATGCAAAGAAGATATAATAAAAGATCCAGTTGATATAAATAAATATTCCGAAAGAATCGAAAATTCCTATTATATAAACACCAGCATTGATAATAAGAAAATTCACCCACAAAAGATGTGTAATAGATGCTATACCAATTTAAGGAACATTGAAAAAGGTTCAAGTTCTAGTATTAAACCAGTTGATTGGCCTTTACCATGTGCAGGCAATTGTTCTTGTTTCCCCAAAGTTGTTGGAAGAAAAGTTAAAAAATGTAAACCTGGTCGACCATGTGTCATGGAACAAAAAAAGCAACGCAAAGTAGCTAAATCTTGGTCTGGAGAAGATTGGGTAGTTTGTAATGCGCCATTTAACTTTCCTTTAAAGGATTCTATTGATTCATTTGAAATAAAAAATGCTCCTTGGGGATACATTAAAGATTTTCCATCTCATATAATAAACAAACTGAACCTGCTAAAAAAGTAAATATTATACTATGTATACACATATATATATATATATATATATATATATATATATATATATATATATATATATATATATATATATATATATATATATATATATATATATATATGTATATATAAATATATATATATATATATATATATATATATATATATATATATATATATATATATATATATGTATATATATATATATATATATATATATATATATATATATATATATAATATATATATATATATATATATATATATATATATATATATATTAGCCCTCAGAATTAGGCCAGCCTAAAAGTATCTGAGGTTGGTAATTTTGGACGAGCTTGATTTTGTCTTCTATAGTGAAGCCTTTGTGAAAAAAGGCTTTAGGTCAAAACTAGGTGTTGAACTGATGCTGACCTAAAGGTCGGCAATTTATAGACGACTTTAGTTTTCCTAATAATGAGGGTTGATATATATTTCTATATACCTTTCCTAATATTGCATGGCTTTTGTGACATATTTTTTAGCCTAAAACCTGCTGTCATACACACACACACACACACACACACACACACACACACACACACACACACACACACACACACACACACACACATATATATATATATATATATATATATATATATATATATATATATATATATATATATATATATATATAAGTTACCATTATTAATGTTGTTGTTCAATAAAATTAAGTTATTTACTTTTTAAAATAAATTTGAATTATTTTAAAATTAAATAGCAAAAATTTGCTACAGCATTCCAATATAAAAAATGATGAAATTCACATTAAAATTGGTAGTGATTATGGTGGTGGATCCTTTAAGATGTGTTATCAAATCGTGAATGTTGATAAGCCGAATGCCAAGAGAAACACAAGTGTTTTTAGTATTTTTGAAGCGAAAGAGTACAAACCCAACCTTGTTGTGGGTCTCTCAAGGTTTACACCACAAATTAATCAATTGCAGTCACTGTGTTGGAAGTAATTTTTATTTTGTCATATTGTTATTATATAATAATAAATAACAGAAAACTCTATTTTGAAAAAAAAAATTTTTAGTGAGAAAAAAATAAGAGTATTTATCTTTGGCGATTACGAATTTTTATGTTCAGCATATGGAATCACTGGTGCAAATGGTATAAAACAAAATTATAAAGTTTTGCAAAACAACATTTTTTAAGTTGTATTTTTTATATTTTTAAATTGTATAATTTTATATTCAGTTTTTTTTATGACTTTTTAAATTGTATATTTAAAATGATATTATTACATTAGGTCGACATGCTTGCTTGTTTTGTCATATAACTCGTGAAGAGATGAAAATGAATCCTTCTCAACAAAAGCACAGTTGCTCCAAGCGTACTCTGGAAACACTTCATGCAGATTTCCAAAATTTTATTCAAAAAGGTCGAATACCAAAATTAGCAAAGACTTGTAACAATGTCATTGATTTGCCACTTTTCAATATTCCATTAACACAAGTATTAAACTTTTCTAATATATTAGATTTTTACTTATTTATATCATTTTTAATATTTTTTTTATTGATTTAACGAATTTAGGTAAGCATTCCATCATTACATATCTCATTGGGAATTTATCTTAAATTTTTTAATATGCTTGAAGATGGCTGTCATCTCTTAGATGTAAAAATTGCAGCAAAAATGTGTATGACAAATCAAACTGTAAACAACAGAAATTTTGATGAGTATATTGCACTTCAATTAAAAATATATGAAGGAGAAAAAGTTATTAATGAATATTGTGAAAAAATAACTCTAATTCATGAAGCAATGGCAATACATGTTCTACGTTCTCCTGAAAATAAAGAAATTATTTGTGAAATATTTCAGCCCAGAGTAGCCCATTATATGGAGAAGAAAAATGCTAAGGTATAATGAGTTAATATTCAAAAAAAATGAAATAAAATTTATTATACTTCTTTTTATGAAGCATTAATCAATTTAAGAGCTTCTGTCTGTGTGTGTTTTGTATATAATTTTTATATATAGCTGATTGAATTAGAAGAGTTAAGATCTAAAACATTTGAAAAATCACATGGACCACTTGTGAAAAAACTTGATGAAGTTCTATGCGGTCTTCATGTTCAAAGACAAGCTTATCATGGAAAATGTTTTATTGGAAATCATGTTCATAAAATGTTGAAGGTTTTTCTATACTTATATTTGCATATTTTTCTCAAAAATATCTTCTCAAATACATAAGTTCATAAATACATAGAGGTTATTAAACATTAATTTTGTAAATGTGTTCTAAAATTTATTCTTTATTCATTAGCTAAACAGTATTCTAGATCTTTGTAATTCAATACCTAAAATAGTAAGTGATCTTGGATTTATTGGTACAGATGTTCATAACGAGGCGAAGGTCTTGAGTAAGAAATTTGTTGTTTTGTTCTCCAAATACTCGACATGCTACAACTTTATGAATTCAAGTGAAATAATTAACAAGAATCCAATATCAGAATTAGGTGAGATTATATTTTTTAAATTATTTTTTATTATGAAAGTTACTCGCATTGAAATTATTTTTGCAATGGTGTTCATAATTATTTCTTTGTTTTTTAATTTTTTATAGAAAGAGCCATTGATAAATTAATGAGTTACTTTCGTAAAACATGGCCCAATGAGTCCATTACTCCAAAAATGCATTTGTTAGAAAGTCATTGTGTTGATTTTATTAGAAATTGGAATTCGGGTCTTGATATTTATGGAGAGCAAGGTTTAGAAAGCATGCATGCCGAATTCAACAGTATGAACAGCACATTTTGTCATATGAAAGGAAAGCAAAGACTGAGAAGTATTTTGTCCAATCACTATATCAAAAACTCTCCAGAAGCTTTAATAATTAGACCAACTATTAAAAAAAGAAAGCCTTATAAAAGAAAAGCTTGAAACGTGAAACTTTATAGATGAATTTTAAAATCAAAAAATGTATATTATATAACGATTTAATTTTTAAGTGTGTGTGTGTGTGTGTGTGTGTGTGTTTTCCAATACAATAATTCCTAACGTTTTCTTTAACATCTGGTAATTTCATTTAGTAAAATGGAAATTTTATTAAAAAAGCGGATATTTTTTCAGCGATAATAGTTCATAAATTACAAAGAAAAAAAAATTACCGGTTTCTCAAAATTGGACATATTCTTTATATACCTAAACTTTAACTCTTAAACATTTCAGGTTTTCACGAAAAATTTATTAAAGTACTTATTTATCAAGAATAATTAGACTTCCATAAAGTTTGTAACTAAAAAAATTGCAATGTTCTTGAACTTATAAAAAGTGAGTAAACACTTTTTTTTATATGTATGTATCTTTTAAAACTAGTTCAACTAATAATTTATTAAAATAAAAAAAAATCTAAAGACTTATTTTTATTAAAAGGTATAATAAATTTAGTTATTAAATCTGTGCTTTTTAATTTTTTTTTTGCGTTTTGCTCGCTTTATTGAAAACTTAAAGATAAAAATATTTGTTAATGCGCATGCCCAGAATAAAGTTCCATTACGAAACTGCCGTGGTTGAGGCGAGTTAATAATATTTAGTCCAGTTCACAATTATTAAAAATATACAAATTTTTAAAAGTGGCAGTTAAAAAATTAACTTATATTTATTACAATAAATTATAAAATCATGTATTTCATGTATTAGAATCATCCAATATCATACTGAACTGAAATGATAAAGAATAATGTACTGTAAAAGACAAAGTACATAAACGGTTTGTTGTATATATATATATATATATATATATATATATATATATATATATATATATATATATATATATATTCTATCAAATGTTAACACAACGTTTTTGTAAAAATAAAAATTTTGAAAAAAAATACTATTGAGCAAGTATTATTCTTCCACACTAAGAATATTCTGCTTTTGTTAGGTTTTCCTATTTTCTTAATGACACAAATGCTAAAGTGCAGGATTGTTCGAATAAGATTTCACTAAGAAATAATAATCATCCTTATAATGACAGATTTATAGCGTTGAATTCAACAAGTTTGAAAAAAAGACGAAAGCGTAGTGGCTTAATTTAAATGATTGAATTAGGTAACAAAACTGACTATGTTAACTGTTATAATAAAGATTGATTAAATTTTTATTCAACGAGTCCGGTGTCAACGCGTAGCCATAATAAACATAACAAAAAATCTGCACAAAATCGTCCTTATTTATAATTTTTTTTTTATAAATTTGTTATTTAGGTACCCTAAGAAGTCCTAACGGTCTTGTCACAGAGCACCGCGGAAGTGCATTTAACCAGGAAGTTCACGCCTCCTTCCTTACCATGACGCGAAATATGTCCAAAGCTCGTTTTGAACCTGGATCTCCTGCTTATAAAGCATATGATCTAACCACTGCGCCACGGCCGCACAATATTTGGCATAACTTTTTTGTGAATCAAGAAGCTCGTTTTAATCAGTTTAGAAAATTAAAAGGTTTAAAGAAAGATAAGCGCTAGAAAAAGAATGAGCTAAAACAAAGTGAAGTTACATTATACGTTTAGATATATTAGTTGAGGTTGAGAGTTTATGTTCACTTATTTTAGTTTAAAAGACATCTTTGTCAGACACTTGTCTCAGAAAGCCATAGCTATTCAAAGGCGTCTAAATTTTATTACGCCTAATACAGGTCTTTAAACGCCTTTAAAAAACGCTGAGAAAAGAAATGTTTTTTTTTTAAATATTTTTACTCTGTAGAAGTTACTTATATACCTGTTACCTCAATGAAGTTTTCATTCTATTTATAAAATATTTTATTTTTTCTTCAAACCTAATATTTGTTTAACTTTCTACAGGTAATACTAATATGAAAACAATTTTTATTGTTTTTTGATTTATACTCGGGTAAAATATTCGTTCTCTTATTTTAATTTATTGTTAAAACATATTTTTTCATTATTTTATTTTATGGTTATTTTCAAGAGAAGGCAGAGACACCAACAAAAAGCTTTGAAGTTAATGATAGTGAAGGTATGAATTAAAAACTTACTTATTCATTTGTAATTGTTAGCGTTTTATTTTATTTATAATTTATTTTCTAGAGGAGGCAGATAATTATAAAAATCTTTGCAGCTAAAGACAGTGAAGGTATATAATAATAAATCACTTTTACATTTTTTTAGCGTTACCTTTTTATTGTAATGAAGATTTTTATGTAAACCTATTTAAATAATCAATTTAAACATTATCCAACTTGGTGAAAAAATATGTGCAGAGTTTTAAAACATATAATCTTCAATAAATGTAATAGTCGTTATTTTATTAGAAGAAAGGCTTATGCTTAAATTTTGATGAAATTATCCTTAAATTGCATTTCATGAATAGGTTACAAAATAATAAAATGATTCCATATTAAAAAACCCTGTAAAAGTCATTCTGGGTATACATCCAGATTTAGGTGGCTGCAAGGTACACGATTATTCGTTACAAGACACTTTAAACGAATGTCTCAGTGACGAAGTTGTTAATATTTATCTCAAAATATTAGTAAACAGTAAAGAAAAAGTATGATTAATTAATGTACTTTATAATAAAATTATTGTACAAAAAAACAATAACGCATTTTTTTTTTTAATTTGTCTTTATTTAAATAAAATTTTAATTCTAAATATAAAACAATATATTGAATGCCATTCCATTTATTGATGCTTTGAAGAATCGAGTCGAAGTACTGTAGCCAGCTGGGCTACGCTCACTGGATGAATTGCAAATTAAAACTGATTTAATACAAAGACGGCATAAGATATTCAAAAACTTTTATCTAAAAAAATTAATGATTTATTAATTTAATTATAGAGTATTTCACACACACACACACACACACACACACACACACACACACACACACACACACACACAAATATATATATATATATATATATATATATATATATATATATATATATATATATATATATATATATATATATATATATATATATATATATATATATATATATATATATATATATATATACATATATATACATATCTTCATAGAAAGAGCTCTTTAAACAATATATGCTAATATGCTGTATGGTGGAAAAATGCAGTATGTAAAATAGTATAATTGTTTTTTGAAAAAGTTTATTTCTCTAAGTACAAAAAGTTTAACTTTCAGTGAAAGGTTAGGTTCCCCATTTTTTTACAGGGAACCTAACTTTGAACCTGATTTTGAAACTCACTTGTGTTTTAGATAATCAAACCAGGTAATAAAACAATTCACTCTATGGATCCTATGGGAGAACAGATAAATTCCATCAAAAAAGAAGAAGTGAAATGGAAGTATGATATAATTATTAAAAAAGAAGAAGTGAAATGGAAGTATGATATTATTATTAGATATTCCTATGTCAAAATTTGTATTTACATCTTTTATAATTTTTTTACTATTATACAGTAGTTGTTACTTACAACAAAGATATGGTGTTTCAGAAAAGTTTGAAATATTAACATTACCACATGCCATACAAGCTGAAGGTATAACATTTGGAGTATTCTGCCTTAAAATAACTTTAAGAGTCTTAACTGTAATGGATATATATAAATAAATATATATATATATATATATATATATATATATATATATATATATATATATATATATATATATATATATATATATATATATATATATATATATATATATATATATATATATATATATATATATATATATATAAGCTTACATATTTTAGTTTGCTGAAAGTTATACAAATGGAGAAGTATTGGTGCGTTTCTTTCCACATGTAGAAGTTAATGCATACAGAAAGAGAGATAAAGGAGGTTTGTGAGATTATTTAGAGAACTGAAAATGTTTATACTACTTCAATGTTAAATGATATCTCAAAAAAAGATACAAAAAATAATGAAAAATTAAATCAATAGGTCAGAAAAGTTGGCAGAATAGTTTGTGTCGCATTTGTGGAAGCGAAATTGGTCAAAAAACTAGAAAAAATCAAAAAAAAGTTAAATGGGTAATAAAATATATTTTAATTATTTTTTTGGGTATATAATGTGTAATAAAATATAATTTTTTTTGGGTATATGATGGGTAATAAAATATATTTTAATTATTTCAAATAGAATAAAATACTTTAAATATTTAAATACAAAAATGTACATTAAATATTTATTTTTAGATCAAATGTGATATTTGCATCTAAATTGATGGTACCGTATAAGATGCATTGTTTTTAAAAATGAAACTTTATTTTGTTGTGAACATATTTATATATAAATGTAATAATAAATAAAACTTTAAAAATTGCAGTCATTTCTTTTTCTTCAAAATTTTGTCATAAATTGAACCAATTTAAATGTTTATGCCCTTACAGATAAAAACACAAAAAGGTGAAATTTTTTTTCTCCCTATTTTTAGTGACTTCTTGTATTGTTATAATACTTTAAATTGTCGGAAGCCTTCATAATTCTGCCAATTCATATGTCGCCATACATATTATTTTGTGTAAATCATTGGCATACATATTCGGCATATTTTACATATTTCGGCATATTTTACATTCGGCATAGATTACATGTCGGCATACATATTATTTTGTGTAAATCAACTAAGTTAATTCATATGTTGGCATACATATGAATTGATTGAATAATAATACATTTTTAACTTGTTAGCTCAATTAAATCTAAAAAAAAAATTAAAAAAGACTGTTTGAGTAATCTCTGCACATTTTGCAAATAACAGCTAAAATTCTAAATTAAAATATCAAATCTCCCTATGCAGGCTTCTAAAATATTCCCCAATATTACATCCCCCTATGTATATCTTTAAAATATTACATCCCCTAAGTAGTTCATAAAATTTTCAAATGAGTAGTAAATGCTACCTTGAATATCACATTCATCACTTGCAAATTATGTTTGTACCACAAAAAGAAACTAAATTTCTTACTTAAAATATCACATCACCCCTATGTATACTTCTAAAATATAAAATCACCCTAAGTACTTTTCTACAATATTTCAAGCAATTCATAATTGGTATTTAAAATATCACATCTACCCTGTGGAATCTCTACATATGTCACAAAAAGAAACTGAAATTCCTACTTAAAACATCACATCCCCTCTATGTTTACCTTTAAAATATTACATTCCCCTAAGTAATTCATACAATATTTCAAACAATTAATATTTGCTATTTAAAATATCACATCCCCCTGTAGATTCTATGTATATGTCACAAAAAGAAACTGTACTTCTTACTTAAAAGATCACATCCCCCCTACGTATACTTTTAAAATATTATATCCCCCAAAGTAATTCATACAATATTTCAAACGATTGCTATTTGGTACCAAGAATATCAAATCCATCACTTGTAAGTTCTGTATGTACCACAAAAAGAAACTGAAGTTCTTACTTAAAACATCACATCCCCCCTATGTATACTTTTAAAATATTACATCCCCCTAAGTAATTCATACAATATTTCAATTGATTAGTATTTGATACCTAGAATATCACATCCCCCTGTAGATTCTATGTATATGTCACAAAAAGAAACTGAACTTCTTACTTAAAATATCACATCCCCCCTAATAAATACTTCTAAAATATTACATTCCCCTAAATAATTCATTCAATATTTCAAACGATTGGTATTTGGTACCTAGAATATCACATCCATCACTTGTAAGTTCTGTATGTACCACAAAAAGAAACTTAAATTCTTACTTAAAATGTCATATCCCCTCTATGTTTACCTTTGAAGTAATACATCCCATAAGTAATTCATAAAATATTTCAAACGATTAGAATTTAGTATCTAGAATATCACATCCCCTCGGTTTATTTGCTATATATGTTACAAAAAGAAACTGAAATTCTTACTAAAAGTATTACATCCCTTCTAAGTTTACCTTTAAAATATTACATCCCCTAAAGTATTTCATACAATATTTCAAACAATTAATATTTGCTATTTAAAATATCACATCCCCGCTATGTTTACTTTTAAATTATTACATCCCCCTAAGTAATTCATACATTATTTCAAACAATTAGTAATTGATATCTAGAATATCACATCTCCTCGGTTTATTCACTGTATATGTCACAAAAGGAAACTTTAAATCTTTACTTAAAATATCACATCCCCCCTATGTGTATCTCTAAAATATTACATCCCCCTAAGTAAATCATACAACATTTCAAATGGTTAGTATTTAGTGTTTAAAATATAAGATTTATCACTTGCAAATTCTGTATGCACCACAAAAAGAAACTGAAATTCTTACTTAAAATATCACATCCCCTCTATGTTTACCTTTAAAATATTACATCCCCCTAAGTAATTCATACAATATTTCAATTGATTAGTATTTGATACCTAGAATATCACATCCCCCTGTAGATTCTATGTATATGTCACAAAAAGAAACTGAACTTCTTACTTAAAATATCACATCCCCCCTAATGAATACTTCTAAAATAATACATTCCCCTAAATAGTTCATTCAATATTTCAAACGATTGGTATTTGGTACCTAGAATATCACATCCATCACTTGTAAGTTCTGTATGTACCACAAAAAGAAACTTAAATTCTTACTTAAAATGTCATATCCCCTCTATGTTTACCTTTGAAGTAATACATCCCATAAGTAATTCATAAAATATTTCAAACGATTAGAATTTAGTATCTAGAATATCACATCCCCTCGGTTTATTTGCTATATATGTCACAAAAAGAAACTGAAATTCTTACTAAAAGTATTACATCCCTTCTAAGTTTACCTTTAAAATATTACAACCCCTAAAGTATTTCATACAATATTTCAAACAATTAATATTTGCTATTTAAAATATCACATCCCCGCTATGTTTACTTTTAAATTATTACATCCCCCTAAGTAATTCATACATTATTTCAAACAATTAGTAATTGATATCTAGAATATCACATCTCCTCGGTTTATTCACTGTATATGTCACAAAAGGAAACTTTAAATCTTTACTTAAAATATCACATCCCCCCTATGTGTATCTCTAAAATATTACATCCCCCTAAGTAAATCATACAACATTTCAAATGGTTAGTATTTAGTGTTTAAAATATAAGATTTATCACTTGCAAATTCTGTATGCACCACAAAAAGAAACTGAAATTCTTACTTAAAATATCACATCCCCTCTATGTTTACCTTTAAAATATTACATCCCCCTAAGTAATTCATACAATATTTCAATTGATTAGTATTTGATACCTAGAATATCACATCCCCCTGTAGATTCTATGTATATGTCACAAAAAGAAACTGAACTTCTTACTTAAAATATCACATCCCCCCTAATGAATACTTCTAAAATATTACATTCCCCTAAATAATTCATTCAAAATTTAAACGATTGGTATTTGGTACCTAGAATATCACATCCATCACTTGTAAGTTCTGTATGTACCACAAAAAGAAACTTAAATTCTTACTTAAAATGTCATATCCCCTCTATGTTTACCTTTGAAGTAATACATCCCATAAGTAATTCATAAAATATTTCAAACGATTAGAATTTAGTATCTAGAATATCACATCCCCTCGGTTTATTTGCTATATATGTCACAAAAAGAAACTGAAATTCTTACTAAAAGTATTACATCCCTTCTAAGTTTACCTTTAAAATATTACAACCCCTAAAGTATTTCATACAATATTTCAAACAATTAATATTTGCTATTTAAAATATCACATCCCCGCTATGTTTACTTTTAAATTATTACATCCCCCTAAGTAATTCATACAATATTTCAAACAATTAGTAATTGGTATCTAGAATATCACATCTCCTCGGTTTATTCACTGTATATGTCACAAAAGGAAACTTTAAATCTTTACTTAAAATATCACATCCCCCCTATGTTTATCTCTAAAATATTACACCCCCCTAAGTAAATCATACAACATTTCAAATGGTTAGTATTTAGTGTTTAAAATATAAGATTTATCACTTGCAAATTCTGTATGCACCACAAAAAGAAACTGAAATTCTTACTTAAAATATCACATCCCCTCTATGTTTACCTTTAAAATATTACATCCCCCTAAGTAATTCATACAATATTTCAAACGATTAGTATTTGGTATCTAGAATATCACATTCCCTCGATTTATTCACTTTATATGTCACAAAAAGAAACTGAAATTCTTACTTAAAATATAACATCCCCCCGATGTCTACTACTAAAATATTACATCCCCCTAAGTAGTTTATAAAGTATTTTAAACAATTAGTATTTGGTATATAGAATATAACATCCACCACTTGTTATTTCTTTAAATGCCACAAAAAGAAACTAGAATTCTTGCTTAAAATATCACATCCCCCCTATGCAGGCTTCTAAAATATTGCAAACGATTATTATTTTTATTACATAAAGTATCCCTAATGTGTAATCTTCTTCTACGCTATTGTCACACAATACATTACGATCAAAATATTATAAACAAGAATTTAAAATATATTACCATTTTATGCTAACTTCATTTATAGTATATAAGTAAAAAAACGTTTTTATGAATCTCGTTTTAATTATATTGTTTATAATTGAATGTTTCGGACGTATTTGATACACTTCTAAGTGCAATGACTCGAAAGCGCGTTCTCGTTTTCATTTTTTCTATGGGGGATGTAATATTTTATTACAGATAACGGTCGTTCAGACTTACTAAATAAGTGGAAAGTTATTATACGCAAGCGCAGTAAAGTTTGCATATTTTAAAAGTTTTAAAAATGGCTACGGATAACGAATATAAAAAAAATTCTCATTGACAACGAGCTATTTTTCTAATTTTTAGCAATTAAATATGCATTTAGCCGTTTAATAAAAGGAAATTATAATAAAAGTAACTTCTAGTACAAGATAAAATGTTTCAAATTAAATATAAAACCACTAAAAACGAATAAAATGTAATTACAGCAATAGCTTTTTTAGTGTGTTTTGTTTATCGTTTTCAAATTGTTTTTAAAAATATTTTGAGCGTAGAAATTTTTAAATTTTAACTTTTTCAGATAGATGAACTGTTGATCTTTCTTAGAATGTTTACTGATATTAGTATTCAATTTTTTTTCAAGATTAAAAGATATTTTTTTAACATTAACTTTTAGTAAGCTGTTGCTAGGCTACCCTATAATCACAATACATAATTACATTGATGTGAGTATATATATATATATATATATATATATATATATATATATATATATATATACTATATATATATATATATATATATATATATATATATATATATATATATATACATAAATATATACATATATATTTATGTATATATGTATATATATATATATATATATATATATATATATATATATATATATGTATATATATATATATATATATATATATATATATATATATATATATATATATATATATATATATATATATATATATATATATATATATATATATGTAAAAGTTGATTATAATAAAAAGATAGCGTATAACCATTTTAAAATATATTTAGATGTAAAAATAGATTAACAATAGTATATTTTAACTTTATATATATATATATATATATATATATATATATATAT